GTTAAATATTTTACGAAATGTTATTTAGAATTGTTCCAGGGCTATGTTCATCGTTAGTTTGGTGTATAAAAATATATTATTTCAGCTATATATTTTCCCCTTATATTAAATTTTGGAAATAATTGAAATGTATTTAAAAACATTGGTAATCTTTAAAATTTGAGAGTTTAATCTACTATTTATGCCTGTTTTCTCCCAAAGCTAGTATTATTTTGAGTTAAGAGAATTTCAAATGGTACAAATAATATTTTAGATAAATTACATTGTTTACAACTGTCATTGTGTTGTATTAGGATGCGATATACAAAAGTTACGTAATTCATTATGTTTTAAAATCATTTAATCTTTCTGAAATCTGAAAAAAACAATTAAAAAGTTTCTCTTATTTTCAAGTATTTTATTGGTACATGATTTTCGTATTAACGATAAAAAAATGAAATATTTTCAACGATTCTGTTAAAAACAGGTTAATTGTATCATTATCATTGTAGTAGCGTGAGTATTCATAAAATTCTTTACGTTGTAAAATCAAAATAAACTTCACTAATGAGTGATTTTGTACTCAGAATGTAAAATCCCCGTTTTGATTTTACTATCAAGCAGGTTTTAATAACTTATGTTTGATTTCTTCAAGTTTTTACAATTTTTTATACATTCTTGAAATGTAAGTACACATGTTGACATGCATAAGAAATGATTCGTACACATTTTTAAATAAAGTACATTGTTCGCTGTCGCTGGATTTGTTTATACACTTAATTTATGGCATTCATTATTTTCATTCTTAGTCATCTACAATCACCCCATATCGTATATGGATTTTATACTTTTAATCCGTTGTTAATGCAGAGTGTATTCGGATTAGTGAATTTGTTTCTTAAGCTTAGCATGGAATCTTACAATGCCCCTCGAATTAATTGAATAGTTTTTAATTTCCTTCAAAATAATTTCAAATGCAAATGGCATATAAAGCGATTGGCTCATTTATTCAAAGCTAAGTCACGATAAACTTAAGACGTTGATGGGCTTACAGCTCTCACTTCATCGTCGACTTCAGAAATGAAGGTAAGTTAGTTATTAGTTCGAAACATTAAGCGAAATTTCTCCTTTCGATTTACGTTTTGGTTTACCAGGGACGAGAGACGGATTCAGAAAGTAATTTTCCGTAGGTTGTCAACAAAAGAAAACAATTCCATATAAAAACTTCATTGTAGCGAATACAGTTCAATTTGCACTATTTTCCACCTATTAACCATCTGAACAGAGATTTCTCTCATTCCGCGTGATAAATATTTGTATACCTGTGTTGTAGAAGTTAACCGCCAGGTGTTGATACCAGTGAGTGATAGCCACCTGCAACTGCGCGAGGTACACGTAATGTTGACCGGACAGGAACTTCTTGGGAAAGAAGGATGGAAATCACTGAACGCAAGATTCGGGCTGAAGGATGATCAAACACCCCCCCCAGCGGTTCTGTTGCGAGCCGAGATCTGTCTGTCCACCCTTTAATCCATCCACTTTAGTGACGTAGGGTTGTAGGTGGCTGGCAAACACTGGGACCTACCCCAGGTGGCAGACTTCTACTGGGATACAAATGCTGATCTCACGGTATGAAAATGTTTCAATTCTGGTGATGATTATGTGAAAAAATAGTACACCACGAGCTGTGTCTGCAACAATAAAGTTTTTCAATAACATTTTTTTTCTTTTTGTTGACATGCAGGAAAACTGCATTTCTAGATACGCCTCGAATTGCAAACAGAATGTAATTCACTTTTTTTGTACTGTAGGATAAAACAAAAACCTGTACTCTAAAAATATGAAATCTTAACGAGAAACGAACACATCGTTGCGGTCACGATGATAAACTAACAAAGCTTACTACTCTTCGATGTAAATATAAGTTTCTACATAGAAGGAATCGTGCTCAAACACACAACAAAAAATCTGTAACAACAGATCAAACAGTTTCTGCATAGATTTGCAACATATATTTTAGCGTTACGCTAGTGTCATTTAATTGAATTTCGAATATTTCGCATTATTCCGTTTATTTTTGTGACAAAAATATTTTTGGACCATACGCGTAAAATTAGTTATTTTAAAACATAAATTCGAAAAAAGCCTTTAACCCTAAACAAATGCAACACGCTATCGTCATGTAATTGTGACTATAACATGTGTCTTCACAACATGCTATCGACCTAAATTCGTTTAAGTAGATTCATATGTTTTTTAAAGTTTGTATTTAAAGTTTTTGATTACTATGTACAGACGCTTCTGTTTGTGTTAGAGAAATATAAATCGACCTTATTCGACTTAATTACGCAATTTTAAGACTTAGTATTTCTACTGCAATAGACAAATTTAGTTTGAAAATCTCCTTCCGTTTGAGGACCAGCAAAACAAGGTTTGATCTGTGATCAATCATCTATAATGTATTCTTTCCTTTGGAACAGCGTGGCATTTCATCTCCTTTTTCGGAGGGAAAGCATACACACTGTTCCGAATGAGTTAGGGAATAATACATGAAGTTTGTTTGAAATTCATGGAGAAATACTCAGCTATATCGCAAACGATGTTTCTGGACGTGAATAACATTCAGACGTGTTTGTGCGGGAGCAAAGAACTGATGGTGTAGATTTCTGGAAAAAAGAAACCCCAGAGAGAAATCCACTGCATTGTCTGGTGTTACGAATCTGACCGTCAGTAGAGTGAAGGAAGGTTCATGTTGGCTACGTCAAATTTCTTTAGAAGATATCACTTTTAATACGATTTTTTTATTTTATTTGTATTTTAGTCTACCAATACGCATGTTAAAATGTATATGTTCATAGCATTTTCCGTTGTATCGCTGATATGTAATTGAAAAATAATTGTCATAGAGGGAATTAATATATATCTTAAACGCGCTTTTAATAGAACATTAATAAAAAGCCAGGCTATCTTTTCGAAATACATTATTTTGTTAAAAGATTTGATCATATATTCACCCAAGAAACACAAGTAACTAGTGGTGCCACAGAATGGCACAGGCTTTGTCGAAGAACAGTTTTTTAATTTCCTTTGTATGGGTTAGCGTTTTGGTCTTGCCCCATCCTCCTGCCAGCTGCCATCTATAGTAAAAAATGTGTTAGTTCGTTAATGACTTAACTGCAAACGAACCTATCTTATTGTAGACAGTTATGATAACGAACTAACTGATGCAATTCAATTGTAATCCTAATTATTTATGGTCAATTTATCACCATCGACAATGATTGACAATTACAGTTTGGTTCGTTACCGAGCACTTTCTACCATCCTTTAAGGTTTCACGAAAAATCAGAGAGAAAGTCGGAATAAATGTCAGGGAGGCTTCGTTCGCGATGTAGAAGCTCGGTAATCACGATTCAGCCCCCGCACTCCCCATTCTTCGGAGCGATTTCGTAGTTGACGGTCGATTACTACAGAACAGTTGCAAAATTTTATCTGTGATGTGCTCTCTGTGCTAGCACGAATATTATAAAATATTTACCAAGAGAAATAATATTTTTAATTCACTTTTGCTTTATTCACAATTATAGTATAATTAATATATTAATTATTTTATACGTAAGCTTCAGATTTTTTCTTATGTGCATATTTTATTCCTTTAACTACAAATGAAATATTTACGTTTTAAGGTATTAGGCGTGCAAGTATTATTCCATAGTGCCTGTAATGACCTATTTAGTAATATGCCTATTTTGTGACTATATTAAATAATATTCTTGTATAAATATCATTGATCGTCACTTAATAAAAACTGAATTGGTTCACGTTTTATCCAACAGGATAGGCAAATTGAACAAATATCTAAAATCCTTAGAGTGTGTGTGTGTGTGTGGAATTATTGCCCTTTGTATGCGATTAGCGATTTCAAGAGAGTCTTTTAACGAGTTGAAATTTCTGAGAATCGTATGCGAGCTTGGGAGTATTTAATTCTACTTTTATATTGTTGTAAGTCTGAATGAATTTCACGTACTTTAAGAACATCGTTTCAGTCACCTTTCAGTCAGGAGAAATCACCCAATTAACTTTGGTGAATTTGGATCAATGTTCAGTTATTAATTGTAATAATCATACAAGTCATAGTAGTATTTTGACAAACGACATCCCTGTTGTGTTATATTTCTCTCATTGTACTTTTAGCAGAGAAGAATAAATTGCTTGTGCTTATTCAAAGAAATACATTACATTTTATGCCTATTTAAATGCTTGTTTTAGAATTTTAAGTAACAATTTTCCCTGCCTAATTTGACTGTTTTAATGCCTAAATACTCGTAGCTGTCGAAGCTAAATAGCGAGCGAAGTTGCTCAGTGCGTAGCGCGCTGGCTTCTCAATCGGAAGGTCCGGTTCGATCCCCGGGCCGCCATCCTGATCGGAGTTTTTCGTGGTTTCCCACGGTTATAAGGCGAATGCAGCGACGGTTCAAAAATGCCACAATCACCTCCTACCATCATCCCAGCCCCTTGACCGCTCATCATCACCCTATCACTTCATTCAGCACTCCTTGCATGAAGCCCTTGCCCTTTCTGTGATATTAGTTGGCTAACAATAATAATAATAATAATAATAATAACAACAATACCTAAAAAATCTACAGCTTATAGTTATACGATAGTTACAAACTATATAGATATTATAACTGTAGAAATTATAAAACAATATTATCATAGTTATAATGTAAAGTTACTATATGTCAGTGTTAATACATTACCTCGAAACAGAATACAATTAATTTAGATTTGATAGTTTTGAAGCTAAAAGCAAAATAATATTGTCTATACTGTTGCTATGGCATCTCAAAAACCATTGAGATACATACATTCAATATTGAAAACCACATTAAAAGCCGCGTATGCATCAGAACGGTCAATTTTACTTCTCTTGCTATTCTATTTATTACAATATTACTATTACTATTTTGCATAATAGTAACATGTGTACAAAATATATATTCAAGTCAGGCGACTTCATGGCATTGAGCTTGTGGTGAGTGCACCCAAATACAGGGACAGTAAGGCTGTGGATTCGAAACCCGAGTTTTCAGTTGTATTTGTGACATGAGGGGAATTTCAGCCCTTGCGAATCACATCGCACCTCTTCAATATACACCGTCATCCTTCCATTATTTTTTGGCCTGGCCGGTCATTTTGTGTGAGATCTGAACGCAAACTGTCTGTGCATAATTCAAGAACTGTCACACTATGCTGAAATGAATTGTAGAAGCCCCGAGATGAAGCCGCGGGCTACCACTGGCAAATATGTAACTAGCAAATACTCAGCGTATCCTGGGCTTATTTCGTATTCAGTCTGTATGAAAGAGGAAAAATATCAATTTTATATAAACCACGGTGTTTTAAGATTGAAAAGAATAATGCAGTTGGTTCAAACTTTAATAAAACATTTTAATTATTTTCTTTCGTCTTATTCGTCCCTAAATATGGTACCCGGAAAGGAGTGGGGAAAAACCGTAAGAGCAATATGCGAAGGATAACTATTTGTTTCATTCTGGAACAAAATTGGTTTCTATAATTCTTTCAGACTATTGTAGAAGGTCTCGGATAAAAAATGAAGCCAATAAATTTACTCTGTCGAATCGAATGGGATCTTGAATACATGCAGATTACTCGATTACTAGTGTATGTTACTTAGGGGTTGTATTAAAAACGAAGACTTGGGAGGGACGCGAAATGTTAGGTTGCTTTCATTTCGACTGTTTCACAATGATTCTCGACTTTTTCACCGAGTTTATCTTAGTGTTGCCGGTATCTCTGCAGGGCCTGAGTGGAAGGCCCTAGGTTCGAATCCCACGGTGGCAGATTTTCGACTCTAGCTATTAAGCTATTGTCCGATTTAAATATAGTGACTTGTAACAGATGATCATTAAGGCGCGATTATCCAATAAGGCACTTCATTACAACTTTCATTTTTGGAATTGAATATCCCGATTTGATAACCTCTTCACAGGTGATATGTCACGAGTCACTGTATATAAATTGGATAATACGTCGAATTAAGCTTGAAGGGAATTCTAGCGGTCGGCTCCTCTCCTCGGTATTTCTACTTTGTTTGTCCGATCAACACCAGGTGAAGGCTGGAGCAGTACCCTAAGAAACGGGCCGCGACCCGCGCAATATTTTGTTCCTCGTCTTTGTCCTCTCTCCTCACACACACAACACACACATGTACTAAACTCTCACACATGTCGGGAGACCAGTCAGAAACGGAGAGTTCCGTTTGGGGCGATGCACCACAGGGGGGAGATACTTGGAGGGGGAAACCATCGGCACGCTGAGGGAGTGTAGCTCGGTGCCGGATCTCACCATCCAGCTGAGGGGAAACATCGTATCAGCTCGCGATGAAACACTAACGAGACAAACGACCATACCGGTTGATGTTACCAGAAACATCACCCAATCAATGAATCGAATTGTTGCAGAAAAATGCAGTTCGGAAGCGCCCTCGTGACCTTGGCCGCGCTGGCGGTGTGCGGCGTGGTTGCGTTCCCCGCTGAACCGGAGATCCGGTTCACCTCCACCCCCGCGCCCAGCACCACGGAGCTCGACCCCAACCACGTGCCGGACTCGGTGTGCGTCTCCATGCAGCCGGCGCACGGCCCCAACGAGCCCAAGAAGTCCGACCCGCCCTACGTCGTCACCGTCTCCAGCCGCAAGGTCTCCAAGGGGGACACCGTGAGAGGTGAGCGAGCGCGCGTGCGTTAATGGCGCCAGTGGGACCATAAACGGGATCCATGCGGCTCTGTACGGTCGGTCATTAGGGGTCGTTTGCGAGCGTCTGGTGTACAAGAAACGGGTAGAAATGTCAAAGGTACTTTAAAAGGGCTGTTATTTGCATGCAATTTAAGATAATCTACGAGTATGTGTGAACATTTTAAGAGGAAATGTCTTCCATAGCAATTTTGTTGGAATGAGACATTCTTGATGTTTACTTTCCCTTATGCGCTTCATTTGTTATGTTATGAATTTTCTCTTTAAACATTCATTTATTCATTTTTTTAATTCGTGAATCTTTATGAGTTTTAGATGTGAATGAACTATCACATTTGAGTCATGATACCTATAACCCCCTTTGCAAGTCTTAAACCTGAACATCTCACGATCATGTAAATTCAAATTTATATATATATATATATATATATATATATATATATATATATATATATATATATATATTCAGTTCGTACAATTTCAGAAAAGAATTTTTAAAAAAATGAAATTATATTTGAGATTTCTCCTGGCATTTGTTCTTTCCAGCGAAGACATTTAGGTTTAATGAGTTCGCCCAGAGTCTTTGTTCTCAAACGACGTGCGTAGCTCCTTTGAGAAATTCTAGAAGTTATTGATTTTCTGGCAGTATTTCTTGCTTAGACGGGAGCGCTAGCCTAGAAAAGGCGCACTCTGCCGCCGCGACGCTCTCGGTCGCAACGTGCAGTGCCAGAGAGTAATGCAAACGTGTGTGTTTTGGCAGTGGTGGTGAAGGGCCTCGCCAGCGAGACGTTCAAAGGCATCTACATCCAAGGCCGCATCAACGACTTGCCCGTAGGACGCTGGCTGCCGCACGACAACCCGCAAGTGCGAGTGTTGGACTGCTCTCCCAGGAAAGAGGTAATTACTTTGGTCGTCAGACTAGCGGCGTTTCGCAAATGAGCTGATGATAATGATGAGTCATAACCTGATGAGCAAATGAGCTGATGATAAAGATGATGTCCTGGAGAGCTGGTGGGTCTAAGATTGGAATGGAGATGTGATACGGTATTCTTTGAGGTAAACACTGGAGGTGACCAGAGGCGGTCAGCGGGCTACCTTTCTATTTTTAAGAGTTCGGGTTCAAATCTCGAACGGCCCATGTCGAATGTGTAGTGGTCAAGGATTTGCGGCAGGGTTTCACAGAGTTCTTTCAATCCAGTAGCTCATTTCAGTTGCTAATTTTTATACTAGCTTCTCTACGATTACTACTCGCCACATAGATATGATATTCGTATTATCTCCACCGTCAACGTGATAGCTCATTACATTAAATGAGTATCCTTACATACGTTCACCTAATCTACCACGTCTCTTTGTCTGAAGCCATAATTTAATCATGCGACTGGCAATGTACGTGGTTCCCTGAGATTCAGGCAACATTGGATCACCACTTTAGAATTGAATCGTCTTTGAATCGTGAACCTCCCATGCGAGCGTGTCGAGTGGGAGAAGGGCTGAGAGAATCTTGACACATGTGCCTCTTGTGGGCGAAGCCGCAGACGGGAGCTCCAGTTCCGTCACAGAAACGTGACTCTCCAAAGGTCTCGCTCCCCTCGCGCCAAATCCTCATCTCGCGTTTGAGGGAACAACTGACAACGTCTTCCGTTGGCTGTTAGAGGGAAACAAAACATACGGCTCGACGAAGAAGATCAAGCTCTACAGGCTGATTGTTTAACAACTAATTAAGATTTTCCGTAAACGGGAACGCGGATTATTGTGGGAAACTGTTTCTCGATAAAAACAGAAATGTCACCCTACTGTAGTTGTAAATTTATAAACAGTTTTTCATTATTGATTTCATTTTTCCTTTACTATTTTATATTTCAAATGTTGTGATATCACTATATTAAATGTAAAATCTAAATTTGACCAAAAGATTACATTACATTATAACATTACATTTAACGAAAAATATTACAATTGACGATCAATTTTTTTAAATGTATGGAATTTGTAATGGAATCAAGATAAATATAAATTTTCGTGCTTTTACATATACGATTGCCTTAGAGGATGCCATTAAAATGGGTCAAATGATAGATTTAGTTTTTTTGGCTAAATTAATAGTTTAAACCTTGCTCTTTCCAAATATATCATTTTATATTATAGGACGCCTGGAAGTCCCTTTAATTATGATTTAAATGGTCTAGTGAGCATGAGCCACACCCCTTTTTTTGACACAGCATACAAGTACGTACAGTGTATGTGCTATTTGTTCGTAATTTTGAACGCATATTAAAGAGCTGATGAAACATATTCTTGTTGATACGTTGGTAGAATTTGTCTTTTCTGCTACAAAATAAGATCCAGAATATGGAGCAATAAAGTTTTAGTAGAGCAGGGGCAAGTACAGACTTTTCAAATGTCGTTTGCCGAAAATGTACTTATTTTGTAATTAATGTACCTTGTCTAAGAAACTATTATTCACAATTTAATAAAATTTCCGGAATACATTATTTATACTATTAGGAATAAATTGAGATTTTATATAAACATTCTTTGATAATATACAATATAAAAATTAATGTTTGTCTAAGAATGTTGAAAACAGAACAAAGGTTATAATTGAAAAAATACTAATTATTTTTAAATAAACTTAAAAAATGTCAAAATTATACCAAAGGCTGCACCTTTTAAGTGTTATAAATATCAAAATTTTCCAGTTAATCATTTTCTATAAAGGGGTCAGCAATAGTAGCAAATTTATCATGAGCGGTATACATGGTACCCTCTCCCCTTAAAATGTTAATGTTCGATATTATGGAAATAATGACCTAACAACAGTTTTGTACGACGCCAAACAAAACATTTTCTTTGTAAGTCACAATTTTAAAACTGTGCCAATGTGAGATGGAAGGAATACAGTTATTTGATTTCATCATGTCAGTTTCTCTATTGCTTTAAATGTTGGTTTCTTTATATAATAAAAAATACAAACGTCTCCAGGGATATTTTAGGGTTTTGCTATTAATTTCTGCCTTTTGAAAAGACACATGACTTTTTTATTATTGTCTGGACTGGCTTCTACTACAAAAATGGAATGTTCTTTAAGTTAAAACATTCCGAGAGATACAAGTATATCACACAGTTTATTGTTTATTAATTTTATTTCATTTTTAAGTAGGACAAATCTCTTTCTCATTGCCAAAAGATCTATGAATATCGTGACTCACATAATATCCGTTTTCTTTTAATAATATAATTATGTAGCCTGTCCGGATGGCCAAGATCCCTAAGGCAGTAGTGCCGTAGCGATCTCGGGCCAAAGGATCGCGGGTTCGAGTCCCGCCTCGAGCATGGTTGTATTGTGTTCGTCCTTTCACCCCCTATCATCATATCGTGTCATCCTTACAGTGTTCATAATGTTACAAGCAATAGTGGTCGCTAATGACCTAGAAGTTGATGCGACCTTAAGTATTATATGTTATTTAATAATTAATTTGTAATAATTTTATTAAATTTTAATATATATTATAATTTTATATATATATATGTATAATTATGTGTAAAAATTAAGGATAATAGATAACCTACGTTCTCGATAGGTTTGCGTTTCTTTACTTTAGCCTTCCACGAATGATGCTATTAATACTAATAATTATAATTTCTTGATCGTCTCAGAACGCGCTTAGCTTCGTGAGCCGAAACGGAATCAACTCGATTACTCTGGAGTGGGTGGCACCCGAGGACGTGAAGGGTGATCTGATCTTCTTGTGAGTACTTTTGAGGCTTGTTGCTTTAAACATAAACTTGACGTATTGAAGGAAACTAACATACAAATAGTTTTATAATCTTTGAAATGTATTACAAAATAGCTTACATAGTTATTGTTGTTACACAACCTAACACATATCACACATTCTTAAATATTTTATATTAATGTTTTATTGTTTTTCTAAGGACGACAATCGTGAAATCATACGATGCTTTCTGGACGAAAGTGAGATCGACACCCCTCCAAGTCGTCTGTGAGTATTCAAACGTAAAATTATATTCTTAAGCATTACTCAAAATAAATTATAAAATTTAATACAATAACTACTAAATTTGCATTTCCTAAATATTAATTTTAATGATTTGGGGGAGATAAATAATAATAATTTTGTTCGTTTTCAGGAGTAACATCATTAAATTCTGGAAGACAGTAATGAATGAAGAGAGAAACGTCAGATTACATTCACTTAACACCTAGAGTCGTGGTGCAGACATTTGTACATAATTGAGTGAAATGTAGTAAGAGTAACAACATCACTACAAAACATATCATGACTACAAACTAGAAAAAATAAGCTAATGAATTTGTTAACATTTTTAGTCAATAAAAGAGTGTCCGAAAATGCCATTCAAGTGTGTCATTTAAATGGGATTCAAATATCGAGTTTAGAATTCAGAGATTCAAATTCTGAGTATCTCATGTGGAATTTGTGATGGGTGTTAGAAATTAAATTTTCGTTTTCACTTAATCGAATTTCTTTGTCTTTGATCCATTTGCTCCATCTCATTACTTACATAGTTGGCCATTTTTTCAACCGCATTCGATTATTTTTATTACCATTTCACATAGCCACAATGACCACAATCCTGCCAATCACGGACACGAACAATGTGCTGATAAGCAAATTACTGTCCCAGCTTGCAATATTCTGTTGGTTGTTCAGAAAACAACTTGTGTTTCTGACGTTTACGAGTATGAAATAAACAGTGTAATAACAGCAATTAGGCTTTATTACACTATTAACGTCTGGAAACATTATTTCCTCAGATCACGGTCGTCTAGCTCGGAAGTCAATGAAAACAGTGTAATGAATAGTTTCTCTTTCCATTAAATACTGAATATTTGAATGTGTTCCATAAAAATGATTGTATTCAATTCAATGGAAGTCTTTACACATAATTTTATTTGATTCTTAATTTATACACAAATTGTATATAAAATGAGTATCAATACATAAAAATTGTTACTTTCTCACTACGGAGTAGAGAGAAAGTTATGTAATGCTGCGCGATAAAACGCCAGAAAAATATTATAGGGCCCTGGTAACGAAAAAGTGAATAAATCCTGTTTCTAAATTTAAAACGAAAAACCTCCAACGCGTTGTAGCTATAATCCAAATTTTGTGGGTTCTTAATACTGCAGAATCACATGTCGGCAGATATCGGCAACGACTGACTGCCCGTCCGTCTGTCAACATCGGTAGCTGTTAAACCGTTCAGTCTATTTTCTTCGAAATTGATATTCCTCAATCGATCTGGCTGATGTCACGGCCCCTTGAATTTAAAATCGTTTTTTTACGTTAAGATGATACTTTAAATAATGGTACATTTCCCAAATTTCCCCTGGTACATTTTCCAAATTTAAAAATGGATCCGTCGACTTTGATTAAATTTTGTTGTTGGATCGTATGGAGGACGTTTAAAAGAACGATGCAGGTATCATGCTCATTGAACACTAATTTTTCGAAAATTGCGAAAATCCAAACTTTTTTCCGCGTCTTCGTACAATTACAAGTACTAAGATAGATAGCTTTTCCTGAATGAAATCTGTTCCTTAAAAATAAATTTTAAAATAAGGTCAAGTACAGTTTTTCGAAAATTTGAGTACTTTTCGCTTACTTGTGTGTAAAAATTCGTACTGTTCTTGCACCACTAATTAACAAAACAATGCGGGTTACACAAATATCAGTTTGGAAGCAGTTCTTCTGAGCACTTTACGGCAATTTTGGTTGCCTAAAAATATTAAATAAATAACATATAAGATGCACTATTGGAGTTGTCATAAGACTTTATATAGAAAATTATAAAGATTTGCGAATTATTATGAGACAAAATGACAAAAATCCTTACATTTTTATTGAACGATATATTGCGAAGAATTTTCAAATCGATATCAATGCAGTATACATATTTTTTCAAAAGCTCTAGTTTTGTAACACTTTTTAAATATCTGGAAAAAACTTGCAATATCCAGAAAAAATATTAGATTGGTAATTTTATATTGGGCAAATACTGAATTAATAAGAGTTTATTTTCTTATCTGAAAGTAACCATCTCTAATTCATTTTTAAGAAGAAACGTCTTGTAACCATTTCTGTAATGGAACGTAACTAATCATTTCTTCATAAATTCTCCAAATCCGTGATTGATTTTATATTTTATACAACTATACACAACTACTTGATACAATGTAACTATAATAATGGAAGTATTTAATTCATTCATTATTATAGTTGTATTTTGTTGCAATAACAGCATTTCGTTTAATGCAATGACACTTAATAAAATTGTGTTTACCATGTACACCGTATGTATACCCGATTACTTTTAATGTATTTACCTTACACATGGACATTGAAATAATAAAATCTAATTCCAAAGGAAAGAAATCGAAAAGTGTGTAGTAAATATTAGTAAATATAAATATAGTAAAAGTATCCATAAGAAATAAAATACTAATTTTTACTTTCTCGCCCTTAAGAAGGAACTTGTAAAGGGCGAGAAAGTAAAGGGAATGTTATGATATAAATTCATCACGTATCTTCTTGAGAAATATTCTAGTGTATTTTCTTCTGTCGTTATCAAGGCGATTAGTCTTACGTATTAACTCATTGTTAATTGCTAGAAAAGTCATGCAATGCTCTCAGTGAACTAGAATATGAACCCAGAAGTTCAAAAATGTTTATTAATCTTCACCCGAAACCTTCTTGTACATTGTGACACACGATATTAATAAACTTTTCAATGTTTCTTCTTACCATTACCCGAAAACGACATTCTCGAGCTGAAAATTTCTGCTACATTCCGCCGAAACTTTTCTAATAATCGGAGCGAGTGGCGAATGGATAATCCGCTCTCACTCCTCTTGCGAGGCGAAACGTCCATGGAATAACTACGCCATTGAGTGGAAGCTCATTTTACGCTTTGAAGACGAAGGAATATTTGTTGCAAAAGTTTCTGATAATAATAAAAGATATTCTTTACCCATTTTCGGTACATTTTCTACTAAATTACTTTCATTCATGTATGAACAGATGTAGACTACGCTGTTGGGCCTCGTTCAATTTAATGTCGAAAATTTACCATAAACCTTTTATGTATATAATTAATAAAAATTTCTAATTTGGGCGAAATTGTTCGGTTGAATAAACTAACTGGACATTTAAACGTAAGCTGGTATGGCTATTTAAACCTAAAGGTAGTATGCAGTGCATAAATTCATCGCCTAATTTACGATTATCTTGTCTAATGAAATAAGGCAATTAGTGGCAAACGAAAAAAGATTATGTTAACATTGTGAGTTTTATCTTATGCGGTTGCTGAGGGCCAATGGCCAAGCTAGAATAAATTTAAAAAAACATCGTGAGCTGGTAATAATCTGTGGTTTAAATTGCCGAACTACTCGAAAATTGAGGATATATACAAAACCAATTTCTCATGAAGCTTGTTTAGAATTGAAATGCACCGAAAATGCTAATAGACATATTTGCTTAATAATTTCCAAAAGAGTAGCAACATTTAAAATGCATTAATCTCAAGAAAAAAATATAACGCATTTTAAAGTGGGTGTGATTTCTGGAAGTCGACTCTCTGAAAGAGTTCAGCAGATCTAATATTTTGATGAAATAGTTGTGTTTCCTTCTTTATTTAAAAGAATTTAATAAACTTTCATTGGCAAATATTTGGTGAATGTAGAGAAAGTTAAAAATATATCAAGAATTTGTTCCAAAGAAAATTGCAAGGAACTGTGAAGTTAATACATTTTGATCTCTTGCCCCTCCCCCTCCCAGTTTTAATCAAAGTATGGAACTCAATAAATAGCGTAATTTAAGCACTTTCTTCTGCATCAGCGGCAATAGCAATGACTCCTCGCCTTTAATGAGCCGTATGGGCGGTTTCAGACGGGTCTCAACGATCTTCAATCGGAACACTATGTAAGCATTCTCTTGGCACGCTACTATAAATATTTGCTCTTTGCATATCACGTTTGCCGTAGCAGGTGCCCGTTCGTTCCACATTTCCTGCAATTTGTCTTTCACTCACGGATATTTCCCAACGTCCCTGACTTTCAGGTACACAATGCGTGGAGTAAACATTAGGAAAATACGAGACACGCACGAACACTAACTCGAGCTGCAACTGTAAACTTTCTTTTCAAGAACGCGATTTTCCCTCAGGATCACGATCAAAGGAGCATTTCTTTCCTCGTTTTTGTTTGATTTCTCAGTTTCATTTTATGACTTCTACGAGTCAATTCTCACGGCAGCATATCGAAATTCCCTTTCTAAATAATGTAAATGTTTACACCCATACATATGAAGATAGGATCTGCTAAAACCGAAACAGCAAAGCACGTGTCTAATGATTATATAATTTCAGCTTTTTACATGCAACTGCCAACAACTTGAGACGTTTCAATGGACTTGTAAATAAATAAAATGTGATAATGCTTGAAGTAATAAGTTAACTCTCAATATTTGTGATAATATGAAATAGAAGATGCTCACTTTCCACTATGCAGCTCCAGGTTCGATTCCTCGTCGAGCCAAGATTATAGTATGCGTTTTCCTTGAAGTGTCCCAGTATATGTTGCTGTGTGACGATGAGAAAATTCACTTCTCAGGTTGAGAAAATCGGAATACGGCGTGGGGATGCTTTCGTGCTAACCACACGAACCCCTTAACCCATGGCCGCGAGGCAGGGACGTCGCCGGTAGGCCTCAGCCCGTTCACAGCCTGGCGCGCCAAGTACGTAGTACATACAAAATAGAATAACTATGACCATTACAAAATAATATATTTCCACAATGATTCTGGATGTGTCTAGATGCCTGTGGCAATTCAGATGCTATATCCGAGACAGTGTGTGATAGCTTTTGAAATTAATGGATACATAATTGGATGTGACCATCCGCAAAAGCCTTCATAGTTAATTATAAAATTCACTGTTTATCTATCTTTCTCCGTTAATCGTTTCTTGATCCCTTAAAAAACGTGATGTCTGCTTTATTTTTATATTGTATCAATATGATCTATTGTTACCTAAAGAGCTTTTGACAGTTGTACATTAAAGTGTTCACTTCGACCAGTCTTGCCTACGATTCGCGCTTGCAAAGTCGGCTCGCTTGCCCCGCGAGAACAATGCAGGTAGTGATTGCGCTTGCATAGACCGGCCTGTTCCGTCCCGCATTCAAAATTCGAAGAGAATATCTAGTAGGATGGGGCTTTCGGGATACGAATACATAAAATGTGTTCTATATGGCTACAAAAACAAGTGAGGATTTTCATGTAGTAATCCCACGTTCATTGATGACAATTAAAAATGTGTATTTATAAAATACTAATACCAATAGCGATATAATTGTATAATTGTACATACAACACTTTGCCTACAATATACTTTATTAAGTTAAATTTTTACTATTTACCTTCATATACACTTACTTTAAGAATTATTAAATTTTATTTATTTACAAGTCCATCAAAACGTTTCAATTTGTTGGCCGCTGCATGTAAAAAGCTGAAATTATATATTCATTAGACATGTGCTTTGCAGTTTTGGTTAAGGGTCAATGCAACTACTCACAAATGTTTAAAGAATAAATCCACAGAGTCATGGTAGCAATTAATGCAGTATTTACGTGTCACCAATATTCTTCAGTAATTACTATCGGTGACTTTGTGTGAATTTCCTTGGAAATCTCTGCCACTCTGTCTGCGAGCGTCCGCTTTGCAAGGGCATGGTTTGACCAGACCTTTTCTAATTACAGCAAGAATTACAAATAAATTCCCCGGCAAGAGAAATGTAATACTTCAATTAAGTGGTAGGAAAAAGGCAATACTTCAATTGGGTGGTACGAGAAACGCAAAAATTCAATTCAGTGTTACATGAAACGCAACACTTCATTTCAGTGGTACATGAAACGCAACACTTCATTTCAGCGGTACGGGAAACCGAAAATTTCAATTCAGCAGTACGAGAAACGCAAGAATTGAGTTCGGGGGTACGAGAAATGCAACACTTCAATTCGGCGGTATAAGAAACGCAAACCTTCAGTTCAGGGTTTCGAGAAATCCCTAGATAGTAATTAATTTTTTTACGTAGATTTATTACAAATGGATATTGATTTTACTCCAACGAATGGCTGATTAGCGAATTACATGACTTTACATTTGACACATGACATTATTCAGCTTGCGGCCATGTGACCGGTTTCAAAGGTTTCGGTGAAATATTCGGGAACTCAGGAAAAATACAAAAAACTGGTTTTAAAACTCTGGCTTTATTAAACCCTTTTAAACAGGTACTTTCTTGCATTATTTCTACGAAAATGATACATGCACCATTATTTTGCCGTTCTTTGTTCAATCCGTGGAAAAAAATTGACAGAAAATTTGGAGCGATTTTTGAAATTTTTTTAAAAACTTGTGTTAATTTCAAGTACAAATCACGGAAAAAAATACTAGTAATTTTTTTAATCTACATGATCCTTCTTGAAGAGTTATTTTTTGAACAGATTTTGTTGGATCTTCAATTTTCTATCTTCAATCTTCAATTTTGCAATTTTTGACAACGGTTCGAAACTATGTAGCATCCTGACATGTGAGAGATGCCTATGGTTTCGTTAGATGAAAAAGTGCCGCAAAAGTGCAGCGACGCATTTTTAATGAAAGTGGGAAATGTCGCGAAAGTGCAGCGACAATAAAGGTGCAGTGACATTATCTTACGTCGCTGCGTCATCTCGCCGGCAGCAACATCGCAGCGGCGGAGCGGTAAAACCGCAGAAACCGCGCATAATCGTGCCGGTCGCCTTTACATATCTGCGGCAAAAAGTGACTCTGGAAAGTGTTGGCAACGAGTGATTAGATGAATCAACGATTCTTTCCCGTCTTTTCAACCATTGAAATGGCTGGACCGAAAATTACTTTTGTAGTTTGCCCTTCTCCCACACATGAGTTTACAGCGGTGGTTCAATGTCTTTGTTAGTCGTCATAATAAATCATTTATTTTATACTTTAGAGTGGTTTTCCATCGTGGTGTCAGTTCTTGGCCGTTGGAAAATACTCTGTGTTTGGAAGTTCCGTTTCAAGTTGTCAGACTTTTCCC